TGTCCACCAATAAACCATCTTTCCAAGCAGCCTCCATGTCTCCAGTGTCTTTTTCCTCACTTGGAGCTGAACCCAGAAGGACATTTCTTTCAACAGATGATACGCACCAAATAAAAGCATTTTTACACGCAAAGTTTAAAAGTGGAGGGTTCTAGAGATCGGCAAAGCCACCTATTTACCAGAACCTGAAAGTCTGGCAAATAATCTCACATTACAGCAGTCACTGAGCATACTGGAAGGAATGTTAGCATTTTCTTGGACTGAACACTGCACCATCGGGAACAAGGAGGTCCTCCAAAGGTAGCTCTATTAAAAAACTTGTAACAGGAGTTCCTCTCAACAAATTGTTATATATGATGCAGACGATTGAGGTAAGTCATCTTTTAAGCCTCTTAAATGAAAATCCTTCAACACAATGATAGTGATAACCTGGTCTTGATCAAAGGGTTCTGGATTTACGGTATGTGTTTACTTTTGCAAAACTCCCAAACCTTGGGTTTGAAGGCAATAATCTTCAGAAACATTTCAACAGTGAAGAGGCCTGTGAACACCATATTGAGCAGATCCATCACGTTATTAAAAGGCTCTGATTGTTCATAGTGCTGAAAGAAGAGATAAGGCATGAATAATACAGGAGAGTTTTGCAAATCTTGTGATTCAAGTGGGATTTGTCGAGAATCCCCTTATAATAAGAATGAACGCTGAACTCAAATTATCATCTTTCCTAGGTTCTTTAGAGTTTTCTTTCTTTCTTCTAAAGTCAGGCACACATAGGTTTGTGCAGATGATCCCATGGCCTTATCTTTGTCCTCTATTTTGCTGCTCTGCAGCTGAATTCCCAACTTCTGGGGCACCTCCGGCATCTCCACTTTCTTCATATGGCCGGGAGTGAATTTTCTCATAGTTTACCAATTCATTACATTCACTACCGAGGCCCCAAATATTAATTTTACATATTTTAGAACTATGTTTGTCTATTCACCTTACTGAAAATAAGTATTTCTATTCATATCTTATTACAGTAGTGATAGCATGACTGCATTTTTCTGTACACATTTGGATTCCATTTTTATTCTAAAGGTCCACACATGAATTCATTCCAGAAAGTGAGGGGTTGTCCTGCCTTGTTCATAGATTTTATAAGGATAGATTTGTAACCCGCTTATCTATTCCCACCATTTCTACTTTTTTTTCCCTTAAAGAGGAAATAACTGGGCAATGCCTTTTGATTTAAGAGCCGAGGTGGCGCAGTGGTTAGGGTGCAGTACTGCAGGCCACTTCAGCTGACTGCTATCTGCATTTCAGCGGTTAAAATCTCACCGGCTCAAGGTTGACTCAGCCTTCCCTCCTTCCGAGGTGGGTGAAATGAGGACCCAGACTGTGGGGGGCGATATGCTGACTCTGTAAACCGCTTAGAGAGGGCTGAAAGCCCTATGAAGCGGTATATAAGTCTAACTGCTACTGCTATTGCTATTTGTGGCACTATAAATGATGCTTCTCACCTGTACAGCCAAAGCAATAGTGTTCAGCAGGATCAGTACAAACATGATGTATTCAAAACAAGTGGAATTGACCATATACCAGAATTTGTACTGGTATTTGTTCTTTGGAATATAGCGTTGTAAGGGTTGAGCCTTCAAGGCATATTCCACACATTGCCGCTACGGGAAAAGAAAAAGGAAGCAATTCAGCTGAGCAGTAACAGAGAACTCTCCCCCCACCCAAAAAAGAAAAATCTTTTGCACATTTCTTCAGCAACACCCTGAGCTGCTAGCTGCAACTGTATTCACAACCTAGAGCAACATTTTCTAATTTTGTAAACCAAAGCTCCAATACACACAAAGAAGACTGGTATATGTCATTCCATGAGTGCTGAAGTTCCTGATGCCATTACTTTCTGCATACTAACGGTCTACTGTTATCTACTGACAAAATTCCAAATACAATATGCACTTTCCTGTTCTTTATTCTGTTATGAGGGGTGTTAATGCTGGATAGGTGTTGTTTGGATTTGAATTATTATTAGGTGATCTGGTTATAAGCAATTCACGGGAAACAAAAAACTCTGATCAGACCTCATACCAAAAAGTTCTTGCAAAAATAATTATCTATTACTTTCAAAAGTCAGAAGAGCTAAACTATAGTGTTTTTTTTCCCCTTTGTTCTGCCTTTTTTTAATAAAAGGAACCCAAAATGGCTCACATGACTGCTACTTTTTCCAGTTTGCTATGGCTGTATATTCTCCCTCAATAAATAAATACAAATAATAAAACATGCATGACTTTTCAAACTCCATCTCCTTTTCCCAATGATAACACTTTTGTACTGATGTATATTATTAGAATGCATTCTAAACTTGATGAATAATGGATTGTATTTATTAAGGAGTGTTCTCAGAACAAAAACAATTAATAAATAGGGGTAAAACTTCAGAAATGAAAAGCATTCTTTTATTCAGTGTGGAAAAACTGGGAATGATTTCATTCTTCTCAGCACAAAGGGAAAACTGAGGAGGGAAATAGTAATTTTATCCCCATTAAAGGTAGGTGAATGGGACGTAGAATGGCAAAGTCCTTGATGACTGTGAATGAGTAATTATGGGAGTAAACTAATCTTTCTAAATATGATGGAACTGTGTGATATTCGGAATTCTCAGACAATGTGGCTTTCTTACAGTTGCAATCCCAACACAACATAAAGATTATCAAGTTGGGGAAAGGTGGACTAAGCCAGAGGTGGGTCCCTACTGGTTCGCACCAGTTCGGTAGAACCAGTTCGTCAAATCTACCGAACCGGTTAGAAGAGGTTCCACCAGTGGACCCGGAAAGCAGGGCACACCTACAGAAGAGGTTCCCAAAAAACTTGAAACCCACCACTGGACTAAGCCAATGTCATTTGGAGAAGGAAAAAAATGGAATCTGAAATGTTATTTCACAAGCAAACCCAAGGAGGTGGGAATTGGAATGCTACCTGGTTCTTGTCCAGCTCACAGTTTTTGTATTCCTGCTCTCCTTGGGCCCGGAAAGTGATGATGACAAAACCCACAAAGATATTCATCATGAAGAAGGCAATGATGATGATGTAGACAATGAAGAAGATGGAGATCTCCACCCGGTAATTGTATATTGGTCCTTGGTTTTCTGCGTTGGCATCAATAGCTTTGTACAAGAGCCTGGCATAGATTAGATGGTGGCAAAAAAAAGTGTAAGAGGGTGCATAGCAGGAATGGAGAAAAAGAAATGGTTTTCTTTAAAAACAAACTCTTTTTTAATTTTTTTGTTACATATTTTATTTTATTTTATAAACAAAGTGTAGCTTGGGTTTTCCCCATTAACATCTTCTCATACGTATCATTCATTTTACATCATATTTCTATTTCCAATTTCAGCCATATTATTTTATTTCCATATATTCCATCTTAAGTTTAATTTCTTCTCAATAGATAAACAATATCATTATTTGGCCCTCCAAATTAATCAAATTTAACATTTCATTTTCATCTGTTATTCTATTTTACTATAGACAACGTATATCCTCAGATTTAATTTTTGTATAATAAACATTTCACTTAGTTAATTATCCACAATTAATAGTATTAACCTATTTCCCTCATATCATATTAACTACTTACCATTAACAATGTTAACATATTTCATTTTATTCTACTGGTAAATTATTTTCCTTCTTTCCTTCTTCCCTAACCATTTTTTCTTGGTCTCTCAGAAACTTGATTTCTTTTATGTTCTCTTCTTTCCACCCATTCACCTAGCTTTTTCTTTTTCTTGTTTTTGTAATTTCTATGTTTTTTCTTCCCAATATTTTTTTCTCCCTTTTGATTCTATTGTTCTCGTAGCTTTCCCCAGATTTTTTCCTAGAAATGAGTTTTTTTGAAGACCTTCAATCAATGCCATGGTAAGAATACTTTTGAGGACTGGAGACTGGGGATTCAGGGGAAAACATTCTGCCCTGCTTGTAATTCTTTGTGGAAGCATTTAGCAACTACTGTGGATACAACATTCCAAATTGAGCTCATGGCTTGTCAAAATTGCTAGAACCCCAGAAGAAACCATTATTTTTAGTTGTCTTTTGAGGAATGGTCAGGACAAAGCATGATGGCTGAGTCCTGCAATCAATAAGAACATAATCAAAGTCCCAAAAGACTTGAGCATTTTCTCTCTTCAGAAAAGATTCAAACCAAGAATTACAGAATTCAGGGTTATCTGCTGGTCTATAACTAAATAAAGTTGGATTGATTGAATTCAAGGTTCCAAACAAGTTCAGGAGGTAAGATATTGCTAAGATATTTTATATTACATGTCCCACATCTGACTCAGCATATCTGCTCAAGAAACAGAAGGAACCAATGCAATTCCATCCTGCAACCTAATTTTCAGCCTGAACAATATCACATCACTCTTTCTGCTCTTTTCTCACTGATGACCCAATTCCTCTGGATTCAGGTTGTCAGGAAAATAAATAAATACTTACATACATACCCACTCTGGGATAAGCAACATTACAAAAAGCACAGCATATAGTTATTTATAAAAATAATAAAGGCTGGATTTAGAGAAAAAAAAATCAGGATTCAATTAAATTATTGAAGCCTCCAGCACTTTGTCTATCTCTATCGGCTTGTGAAACGTGGAATACCTCAATGGGGCTCTTCCATCGTTTAATCAAACACAGTCTTTTTTATAACCATAGAAATGTGGCAGAGTATTCAAAGAGGCAAAGGGAGAAAGAAAGAGAGGAGAGAATTCTATCTCTGTTCCTGAAAAAGAGGATGAAAAAACACCAACTACCCCTCATTTGGGGGCTAGAAGAACATATTCTCTTACTCAGAGGTGGGTTCCTACCAGTTCACACCTATTCGGTAGAACCGGTTCATCAAATCTACCGAACTGGTTAGAAGAGGTTCCACAGTGGACCCGGAAAGCAGGCCACACCTACAGAAGAGCTTCCAAAATTTTTTGAAACCCACCATTCACACACACACACACACACAGAGACAGACAGACAGACAGACAGACTGACACAGAGAGAAAGAGAAAGAAAGGAAGAAAGAAAGAAAGAAAAAAGAAAAAGAGTGAGAGAGAGAGATGAAAGAAAAAAAGAAAAAAGGGACAGAGAGACAAAAGGAAAGAAAGAGAGAGAGGGAGAGAGAGAGAGAATGGCCGGCAAGCCACTCCCACCAAGTCACATGGCTGGCAAGCCACTCCCACAAAGGAGGCCACACCCACAGAGTAGGTTCCAAAAAAATTTGGAACCCACCACTGCTCTTACTACACCTCTGAGCTAAGCAAAAAGTATCTAAACAGCTGCATAAAGCGAAAAATGTTAAGACATCGGGGAAATGGCAAACATCAAATAGACATGCATATACGCTGAGCATAACCTCTACAGAGTAACTCACGCTGGCCATCCCTCAAAAGTGGAGACAGTAAAGAGAGCCATCATGCCCGACAGCACATTGTCAAAGTTGAAGTCACTGTTGAGCCACATGCGCTCACGCACCATTGGGTGAGCCACATCCCCATCCTTGTACACAATGAACGTGCCTCTGGATTTGGGAGGAAGAGAAAGAATGGAAAATGGACAGAAGGAGGAATATGGTAGTTTTGAATCAATCGGAGAGTAGATTATTCATATCTATTGAATTTGCATACGTGCCTTTAAAATGATTGCAAATTGCTTTTTAAGCAATTTAAATATAGAACAAACAAACAACAAACAAGTATTTATGTAATAGAGCTAAAAAGAATATGCAATTAAGTGGCAATTAAGTCATTAAATTTTAGCTTCCAGCTCTGATCTCACTGCAAGTATACCTGGGGACCAATCATTAATATAAGCATGAATTGAGTTTTTGTCATTCTGCTACTAGTAGTAAACAGTAGCACAGTTGGAAAGCGGGAATCAGCAGTGTTCATAAAAGGTCCTAAAATGAATCAAGGGAACATGGCAGGGACCAAGATCAAATCCATTTTTTTATTCAGTTATTTCAGTGCAAAGCTACACCACTGATAATACAGGGAGTTCTTTATCAGTCTCCCACTTAGAAACTCTTATTAGAGCAGATTTTATACTTACTTGCACTCAACTGGGGTATGCTTGGCCTCATCTGTGCAGCTATAGAATTTGCCCTGAAGATACAAGGATAATAAAAGGAAGGCAATCACAAGAGAGGGATTTTTTCTTGGAAAACTATCTGTCTAGTCTCTTGGAGCTTACAGAAATGCAGAGGAAATGCTTTATATATCAGTTCACACAGGAACAGCCTTTAAACAGTTCAGACTGAAGTTCTTCATCATGAGCAGTTGTGAGGTCTTTTCAATCTATGGACTAGGTATCAAAGCGAGTGTCTCTCTATCCAGTCCATAGAATCCCTTGTGTATTTCCATTTGTACCACTATCATTATACATATCACCAACTCTTTAGACTATATTATCATATTGTCTTTGGTAAATATTCCCCGTAATATTGTGAATGTTAGAGAGATGGGCCGTTAAGAAGGATGAAATATAAATAAATTATTTTAATATCCTGATTTATACAGTCAGTCCATCAACCTATCTACTTACTTACCTACCTATCTACCTACCATATATATCACTAGAATCCCAAGATCCTAGCAATTTTCAATAGTGAAAAAACCACTATGAAACAATAGAGATAAAAGCATGTTTAATACGGATCAAATAGATTATGGATATAATTTCAACCATCAGGCAAAAACACCAGTAGAAGGCAATTTTCACTTGGAAAGGCCTGCACAATACCTCTAACTTTGCAACTTTTGAAAAATATGCTAAGAATATCATTACTGTAATCTCCACTGGAAAATATGCTAAGAATATCATTACTGTAATCTCCACTGGAAGATTTTTCCCTAGGTTGGTTACCCCATAACCAGGAAACATTATCCCTGGGCCATGCCAATCTTACTTCATGTAGGAACCTGCAACATTCCCATCCAGGTCAAATATACTAAACTGGTTGCTTCTGCCTGGAGAAGGAAGTTATGATTTGCACTGTATCTAGAAGCCTACTGGAAGAAAGGCCGTGCAGCATTCAACATAGAGATGCAATTCTGCCATAATCGCTCTCAACCTTCAGCATGGGCACTGTCGCATTCTGAACCAGCTGCACCTTCTGAGTAATCTTCAAAGATAGCCCCTTGTCATGCACTTTACAATAGTATCCATAGATGGAGAGGAGGCATAATGACTGTTGCCAGATCCTCCAGTTCCAGGGCCATGAATGATTTATCAGGTAAAGCTAGACCAGTGGTTCCCAAACTTGGCAACTTTAAGACTTGTGGACTTCAACTCCCAGAATTGGCTGGAGAATTCTGGGAGTTGAAGTCCACAAGTCTTAAAGTTGCCAATTTGGGAACCACTGAGCTAGACCAAGGCACCTCTGGCCACAGCTCTTACCTAGCCATCAAGCAGCAGCTATGAGCTTAGGAGAACACTCAGCTCATGGATCTGCTCCCTTTATTCCATCTACAACAGTAACTATTGCAGCAGACATAGCCAGATGGCCTCGTTTCGTTTTGATTGAAGCTCTGCTGGCTTCATTTCATCAAAATCCCCAGCATTGAAGAGGGATCTTAACATTTCCCATTTAAGTCAGCATGGCAACGTGTAACTGGATATCACCAGCTTAATGATACCTCATAATGAACCAATGGGAGGTATACTCTCGGGGGGCCTTATAAAGATTTATCGAAGACCACTGGAAGGGTATGTGCAACTACAAAGGGGAAGAGAAAGGTTTATCCTAAGGTTCTTGTTGTTGCCACAGGACTGCTGCTGAAAATCGGCAGGTCTGTGTGAGGAGGGCTTCTTTCCCTCCATTAAATTTAGACCCACAAAATTGTGCTGGTGATATCTATTATCTCATTGTGTCCATATCCCACTCATTGTCCCTGAGCTGTGGCTGGTAAGAGCAAGGAAATAACACGCATGAGCATAAGTATAAGAATGTTGAATTAAGAGGGGGGGCA